TGGGGAAATACTGAAACCCTAGACAGTCCCGTTATGGGACTGGGAAGCGAAGGAATGCAGCCCCTTGATAGGTCCAGTGTGGGCCTGGGAGGCACTACAGAGTTGCCTAACAGTGGCAGTTTTATAGAGGGGCCAGAGAGCCTGCAACTAGGCAGGTCAACCAGGTTACTGGAAGAACAAAGTCCTGGTCTGACGAGCCCGGTGGGCAAGCAAGCAGATCAGGCAACGGGGCACGGTCCATGGGGACCACCAGGGTCTGAAAGAAGGGGCAAATTCATGTCATCCTCTGGGCAAAATGGAATTGGGAATTCTCAGGGTCTAAGGAGGTCACAGAAAGTCAAGAGATCTCCTAAGTACCTTGAGGACTTTGTAACTCTGCTGGCAAAGCAGAAACAGTGAGAGGGTGTCTGCTGTTGGGAGCAATGGAAATATGGGCACTGGGTATTAATGCCCAGAACAATAGCCCAGTACCATTTGGAGCATGGGTTGGCACACCATGCTCGTGTTGTGGTCGTGTGTAACTATTCATATAGTTTATTAGTCTTAGCCGGGGGGGGGGGAAGGGGTGTTGTGTCCTGAGCCTGCAAAGGCAGGCTCGGGACGTTGCAACAGTCCCGGGCAGTTGCAAGCTGCCCGGGACCAGACCGGCTGGCAACGGCTTCGCGTGCCAAATGTTGCTATTCGGCAGAGAGGCCTGTGTGCCTCAGATCTGTAACAGAGCTGAAAAAACAACAATAAAGGCTTCTTGACACTACGAGATGCTCTGTGATTATTCTCCATTAAGCTGAGGACTCAACACATCCCATTTGGCATATTCAACAAAAAGAAACTACTGGCTCTTTTGAGTTACCAAGAGTGTAGCTTTATTGAAAGATCCATCTAGGCACAGGAGAAGCTAAGTCAGTTCTAGGATTTTCCCATGAACACCCAGATAAGTAAAACCCCTTTTCCCCCTCTGAACCACCCAAAGTTCATAGTTCCCTAATTGGGTGCAGTTCTTTTGTTTGGGAAAAAACTGCACAACTCAAATATTTTTTTATAACTTGACCTTGTGTATAAGTTTCACGAGTGACAGAAGGCTCTCATGCATTCCATAGCTTGCCCCCCCTCCAGGAATTCACTATTGTGTAACAGTCCTCCAGTCATTGTTTAGTAATCTTCAAGTGAAAGCAGGTACAGGCAGCCATGGAGTCAAGTCAGGTTTGACAACCACTTTAGTAAGACCACATCTAGAATACTACATCCAATTTTGGAAGCCACATTATAAAAAAAGATTTGAAAGAGTGCAAAGAAGAGCAATAAAGATAATTAGGATCTGGAGACTAAAACATATGAAGAATTGAGAATGGCTAGTCTAGAGAAAAGAAGGACTAGGGCTGACATGTTGCAATATCTGAGAGGCTGCCAAAAAGAGGAGAGGAGGGTCAATCTTTTTTTCAAACTACCAGAAAGCAAGACAAGAAACAATGGATGGAAACAAATAAAGAAGAGAAGCAATCTAGAATTAAGGAGAAATTTCCTAACAGTGAGAACAACTAACCAATGGAATGGTTTGTGTTAAGAAGTTGTGGATATTTCATCATTGGAGACTTTAAATAAGAGACTGGATAGCAACTTGTCTGAAATGGTATAGGCGATAAGGGCGGCAAAGCGTGTTCACTTTTCCGCACTTATTGCGTCCGCAGAATCTCACCCGGCCACCTTGTTTAGGGTGACCCGCTCCCTTCTTAAAGTGGGGGAGGCAGAGGAACCCTTGCAGGGGAGAGCTGAGGAGTTTGTTCAGTTTCTTTCAGACAAAATCGCTCAGATTCAGAGGGACCTGGACTCCGTCTGGGCAGTGTCAGCCGAGATGCCCTGGCTGGTCTTAGTCATGTTATCTGGAGCGAGTTTGAGCCTGTGACCCCTGATGAAGTGGACAAGGCCATGAGGGTGATGAATGCCGCCACCTGTTTATTGGACCCATGCCCCTCCTGGCTGGTTTCTGCGTGGGGAGGTGACATGAGGCTGGCTCCAGGCGATAATCAACACCTCCTTGATGGAGGGGTCTTTCCCGCAACCTTTGAAGGAAGCGGTGGTGAGGCCCCTCCTCAAGAAGCCTTCCCTGGACCCAGCTGTTTTGAAGAACTTTCATCCTGTCTCCAACCTCCCCTTTGTGGGGAAGGTTGTAGAGAAGGTGGTGGCATCCCAACTCTTGCGATCCTTGGATGAAACAAATTATCTGGACCTTTTTCAATCTGGTTTCAGGCCCGGGTATAGCACTGAGACTGCTTTGGTCGCACTGACTGATGACCTCTGGTGAGCCCGGGATAGGGGTCATTCCTCTATCTTGGCGCTTCTTGACCTCTCAGCAGCTTTCGATACCATTGACCATGGTATCCTTCTGTGTTGTCTCGGCGAGGTGGGGGTGGGCGGCACCGTATTGCGGTGGTTCTCCTCCTACCTCTCTGACAGGTTGCAGTCGGTGTTGGTGGGCGGACAGAGATCGACCCCTGGGTGCCTCAATTATGGGGTGCCTCAGGGCTCGGTTCTGTCCCCCCTCCTTTTTAACATCTACATGAAACCATTGGGTGAGATCATTCGGCGACACGGGGTGAGATATCATCAGTATGCAGATGATACCCAATTGTATATCTCCACCCCGTGTCCTTTCAGTGAAGCAGTCGACGTGATGTGCCAGTGCCTGGAAGATGTGAGGGTCTGGATGGGGGTGAACAGGCTTAGACTCAACCCTGACAAGACCGAGTGGCTCTGGGTCTTGCCCCCCAAGGGTCATCCTGATGGTCCATCATTGGTCCTGGGGGGGGGTAAACTTACCTCCCTCAGTGCAGGCATGCAACTTGGGTGTCCTCCTGGACTCACAGCTAAATTTGGAACAACATCTGTGCACCAGTTGTGGCCTTATCTGGACCGGGAGGCTCTACTCACGGTTACTCATGCCCTTGTCACCTCAAGACTGGATTACTGTAATGCGCTCTACATGGGGCTACCCTTGAAGAGCGTTCAGAGGCTGCAGTTGGTTCAGAATGCAGCCGCGAGATCGATTGTGGGTGCACCAAGGTACACCCACGTGTTACCTATCCTCCATGAGCTGCACTGGCTTCCTGTGGGTCTCCGGATGCAATTCAAGGTGTTGGTTGTCACCTTTAAAGCCCTTCATGGCTTAGGACCAGGTTACTTACAGGACTGCATACTGCCGCATAGTTTCCAGAGACCGGTGAGGTCCCACCGATTGGGCCTCCTTCAGGTCCCGTCGGCCAGACAATGTCGGCTGGTGGGTCCTCGGGGAAGGCCTTTTCTGTGGTGGCTCCGACGTGGTGGAATCAACTTCCCCCCCGAGATTCGAACTACTCCCACCTTGCCGGCCTTCAAGAAAGCCATTAAAACTCTCCTGTTCTGGCAGGCCTGGGGTTGATGTCCCTGGGGGGGGGACACACGATTGGGACATGTTGTATGAATGCACTCATTTTTATTGTTATATTTATTGTTTTAATTTTGAACGCCGCCCTGAGTCCCTAGGGATTGGGTGGCATATAAATTTTATTAATAAATAAATAAATAAATAAATAAATAAATAAATAAATAGGGTCTCCTGTTTGTGCAGGGGGTTGAACTAGAAGACCTCCAAGGTCCCTTCCAACTCTATTAGTCTGTACTCATAATTTTACAATAGGATATTGTGAAATTGTTTCAGAATTAGTAATAAAGAATAGGATAAATTTTGCTGTGAAATATGCTCCTATGATATAGATTTAGAACATCAGTATCATATTTTAGACATGCCAAAGTAATTTGAAAAATGATAAGATATGGATGTAAGGATTAATGGCATGGATCTATTTTCATAGATTGTCTTCAGGATGGTGGAACAGGCCTCATTTAAAAAAAATAGTTTGAAGTAGAAAGTTAATTTTCAAAATAGCAGTTTTCCAATCAAGTCTGCATCCAAACAGCTGCACAAATGTGTCACAATATCACACAATACTGGACATATTCTCTCTAGGTATATCATGTTGAATAAGCGCAGTAGGTTTATTTAGAAAATCCTTAACAGCTCTCATCACAAATTTCCTTGGGGAAATTTTTAAAGTTACTGTATATAGCTGGAGGTTGTGGGAAAAAAAGATATATTTTAAAATGTAAGAGCAGATACTCATTTCAGTCTTATTTGATGAAAGTTTTGTAAGCCTTTCTCTTAAGATTGGAAACATTTGTGAAAATTCTGAATTCAATATTTGAAAGTGGTGAAATGATTTCTGCACAACCTTAGAAAGTTTCAGATTAACATTTTGGGTTCAAGTCAGTCTTGATTTTCTGGAGATTGACTGAACTAGTCCTTGCAGTTTTGTTGGCAAGATTTCCGAAGTGATTTGCCTTTGCCTTCTTCCTAGAGCTGAGAGAGTGATGGGGTCAAGACTACCCAGCTGGCTTTATGCTTAAGGCAGTATTAGAACTCGTAATCTCCTGGTTTCAAGTCTGATGCCTTAACCACCAAAGTGACTCAACACATCTTTGCCTCTATCACTCTCCCCAAAGTATACATTTTAAAAAGTTTTCTTTTTCTTTCATAAAAATTATCTCTATTATATTTTTACCATTAGTTGATTTCAAGTTGGCATGTCTCTTGATATTAAACTAGTTATAGACAAAGTATGTTCCTCATGATGCAAGACAGACATCCAAATGTAGAATTATATTTCTTCCCCTGTAATTATCATGAATGATGATTAATTCTGCATTCTGGAGAAATATTGATTACTCCCACTGTGAAGTGAGAATTGGTTGATAATATAAATATCCCCAGTAAATTTATGGTTTGAGTTAGAAACAAAAGATGGGTAATGGTCCAATACTACAATAAACAGTGTTGGCATAGAATGTGAAGAGAATGAAGTGTGAGTGCTCATCTCAGGGATGCTTCAGACTTGAATAAGGCCAACTATTTCAGCACTTAATATACTTTGAGAATGATATTGATTCTTCTTTTGGTGTTGTTTCCACACATGGCATGCCGCACAGAGATAATGCAATGCACTTTTAGCAATCTTCCTATTGCTCATCACAGGTACTTCCAAACTGAAGATGTCATCATTGGTGCCATTACTTCAGTTTTTGTTTTATCTACAGATAAGCATTATTTCAAAGAAAACCCCATTATTGCATTTATTGATAAACCTCTGTAAGTAATAATGCCTTTTTTCATGCATGCTTATTAAAGTTATTTTTGAGCATTTGGTAAATTAGGTTCAGTAATGCAACTATTCAGTTCTAAAACACCATCTCTATGTGAGATGGGTGGCACATAAATCTAATAAATAAATAAAAAGGAGAGACATTTCAATGATTGCACAGCACTAGGTCCAAATATATTTACTGATAATATTCTATTTGACAAGATTATGTGTGTTAAATCACATCCTAAAAATGTGATTTAATCCTAAAGCATGAATTTATACAATAAAGTAGGCAAACATTTGAGTTTTGCATTTCTAAATGAATAGGTTTTGCTATTGTAAATAATACTGATATTTTTATTGTCTTTGTTCTTTCCTATTATTTTAACTTTCAATGCTAGACTACTATTGCTAAGGCAGAAAGAATAAAAATATTTTCCTAAAATAAGAGAAAGAGTTGCACATCCAGTACAGAGATCTGTTAAGGTGGGGATGGGGAATCCAATTTAATTATTTTAAATATAAAAGTGCATTTTTAAATTATTCATTTTTCTATCAACATACCATATGCATGTGCACTAGAAAAGAATAGAACAGAAATTCATTTCAGATAATTGTCAAAAATGCTGAGAGACATTATTTAAATTATGAATCAATGGTTGACTTCAAAAAAGAATTTGTTTATGAATCACATTTTTATAATATGCCATATCATTCTTACAGGGTTCTCACTAAGCATTATCAGCATGTATTGGCTTTCATATTTGCTGTGAAAAACATCAATGAAAATCTTAAAGTTTTACCCAATATCACCTTGGGATTCAGAATCCATGACAAATATAGTGGTAAATGGACCTATCATACCACTATGGAACTTTTTTCCCCTGTAAACAGATTAATTCCCAATTATAAATGTGATACTAAGGACAATGTTATTTCTGTCATTGGGGCTCTATATCCTAAAATCTCTCTTGATATGTCACATATTTTGGCAGTGTACAAAGTTCCACAGGTAGGATATTTTGATGAGTTATGAAACTTCAGGGTCACCTATATTCTTCAACATTTTTATTCTATTAAAAATAAAGAAATTTCTATTTATATTTGTTTAGAATTATATTTCAGTAGATAAATGCAGTTTTGAAAAAGGCAAAAGATGGATTGCTCTTCTTCTACCAAGGATCCATGCTGATGTTCTCTAACAATTCTGGGCAGAAATCTTCATTTTTTTCTTAATTATAATTTATAGTCCGAGTCCGATAGTGCTCATTACAGGATTCTCTCACCCCTTGCATAGATCACTTCTGCACCATATGATGCTGATATCTATCCATATAGGTGGTGTTTTCACTTCTACTTAATCATACATTTATTACATTTTTTAAATTGATGAGAACATATTTTCTGCTTCCTGCAAGAACAACTTATAATGTTGTTATAAAGTTACAATGTTATGCATGAGAGCATGGACAAAAAATATATCCAGGTTTTTAAAATCTTTTTAAAATTCACCTCTAGATCATAGTCTGATTTCTTTTTTTTGTTTTCCTTTTCTTCCCCTTCCTTCCTCCCTCCCTCCCTCCCTCCCTCCCTCCCTCCCTCCCTCCCTCCCTCCCTCCCTTCCTTCCTTCCTTCCTTCCTTCCTTCCTTCCTTCCTCTTTACTATTTATTTTTGCTTATTACTAAGTTTCAATGTCTCATATTCCACAACTATTACTAGATGGATCATAGATCCTGACTTTTTAAAGAAGGTAGGTTTATTTGCTTCCAGTTTGTATCAGTAGCATTTATTGCTGATAATTATTTTAGAATAGAGGCTGTCTACAAGCTACAACCTTCCCTCCCTCCCTCCCTCCCTCCCTCCCTCCCTCCTTCCTTCCTTCCTTTCTTCCTTCCGTCCTTCCTGTGTGTAAAGCTAAGTGATTCTTGAATATTTGCTTAGAAATTAATAATAAAACAAATGTGTTCTAGTTCAAAATATTTTTTTACATTTTTATGTACAAATAATTGGATAACCTTTGCACAGAGATTTAAAGCTTAACAATTCAATGAAAAAAAAAAAAAACCCACAGGAAAGGCAGAATTCAGGGAACATTTTTTATGCCTCTAGGCTGAGACAACTATGATCTCTGCTTCAAAAGAATGAAACTTCTATATAGTCTAACTGATTGATGTATTATTTTATTAAGCCTGGGTTGACTCTTTGCAGCCTCACAGCTATATCTTCCCCAAAGTGATCATTCTCTAATCTGAGCCTTCAGGTTTTCGAAACATGCAACCATTGCTGCTATATTTGAGTTAATCCATCTTTCTGCTGTCCTTCCTCTTTTTCTCTTTTCTTCCTCTCAGTAACGTTAAGAACTTCTTAAGGAAGCCAATTCTTCTGATAATGTGTGCAAAATATAATTATTTCATTCTCAAGCACGAATTCTGCATTGTCCCAAAGTTGCTTTTTCAAAAGGCAAATTGAAGAACTTTCTTGAATGAGAAGCAAAACATTTTTTAAAAAACAAGAAAGTCCAGTTGCCTTTTGAAAAAAATGACTGGGATGTTTGAGAATCTTCATATAGTTTTGAATTAATTTATTTCATTGTTTTTGGCTATTCGTGCTATTTTCAAGAGTTCCCCAACTCCAAAGTTCAAAATCATCTTTCAATTCTTGATTCTTCAAAATCCAATTTGCAGTTCCATAGAATGTCCCACATAACATTCTTAGCTGCAGTATTCTAATCCTTGTGAATATAAGTGGATCATGATATCTGAATGTGTTTTCAAAGGCCTTCATTATGTTTAATTAATGTTTGTGTATAGTATATTTCTTAACTGTTTTTCTTTTACTGTTGACAGTCAGTCCTAAAAGGCAGAAGTTTATCTGCCACTTCAATAGCTTCATTGTCATTTCTATATTTCTCCTTAGGACTCCTGAATACTACCTCAATAACTCTTTAGTAAATTAAAAACATCTGACACACCAATTCCTTTTCATACAATTCATCTTAGATAAGTTAATAGATGGAGCAATCTAATTTTTTAAATCACCCAGTGCTTTAATTACCTTCTTTCATTTTTGTGTCTCTTATTTTTAACCCCCTATCTAATTGCTATATTTCTAGTTTGTGTATAGCTCCCTTCCAAAAATGGAAAAGAAAACCCAGATCATTTCTCTCTATGAAATGGTCCCAAATCAGGAGCATTGGTACAAAGGGATTTGTCTGCTATTGTCGCATTTCAGATGGACCTGGATCGGTGTTCTGGTTAAAGAAGATGAGATAGAAGGATTTCAGCAAAACATAATGTCCATGTTTTCTCAATATATGGTTTGTGTTGAATTCTTAGAAAAACTTAAGCCTTTTTTCATCAGTACTATTTTTGATGAAATAAAACAATTGTTGGAAGTGTATGAGGCAATCATGAATAGCAAAACCAATGCAGTGGTAGTCTATGACCAAAATGTTTTACTTTTGAGGGTGTTGTTATATTTACCTCAGATGGAAGAAGTATTTACAAAGCCTAAAGCTAAAGTGTGGATCCTGGTCTCTGAGCTGGATCTTGCTTCCTACATATTTCAAAGGGGATGGGATATGCAAGTCCTCCATGGTGCTCTTTCCTTTGCTGCTTACTCCAATGAAGTTCCAGGATTTCAAACTTTCGTTCGAAATAGGAATCATTTATTCATAAAAGAAGATTTGTTTGTGAGAGAAGTATGGGAACAAACATTTGGTTGTGACTATCCCACTTCGTCTGTGAATGAAGATAGCATTTGCACTGGGGAAGAGAGATTGGAGAGCCTTCCAGCAGCTCTTTTTGAAATGAGCATGACTGGCCATAGTTACAGTATATACAATTCAGTCTCTGCTGTTGGATATGCTTTACATGACATGCAGTCAAGTCTACAAAAATATAGACTGCTAAAGAAAGGAGGGAAATTGTACTTTCAAGATCAGCAGCCATGGAAGGTAAAGTAGAAGTTATATTAAAAAAAATATTATGTTTGGATCAGTTAATTTAAATGTTTAATTATATGTGGCATGAATATATATTTTACCAAAAATATGATTTTGTCCATCTATCTTTTTTACTCCATTAGGTTAGAGGAATAGAATATCTAAACATTAAGCAGTTAAGCAGTGCATCTATCTATCTGTCTGTCTATCTATTATTGGACCTTTCTTTTATTTATTTATTTGTTAAATGTATTTGCTGCCCTTCTGTAGGGCTATTCTGGGTGACTTATAACAGTAAAATGGAAAAAGAATGATAACAAAAATGTAACCATAACAATAGTAAAGCAATAAAACAAAAGTAAACAATGAAAGTACAAGAATATGAATTAAAAGTTTTCTTAACAATAAGGAATAATTGATTTTTGTTTTTTACAAATAAGTGCTCATTCATTCATTCATTCATTCATTCATGTATTTGATAGCCCACCTTTTCCCCAGGAGCTGAAATAGACATGATTAAGAATATTTTTTTTTCATCTCAAGATATCAGTGGAATACTGACTAGTTCTCGGACAGATCTTTAAATAAAATTTAAATAAAATCAAGGTAATGAAATTGAGAATCAGTTTTATGTAGTGGTTAAGACATCAGGTTAGAACACTGAGTTCCATTCCTGCTTTAGGCACAAAGCTTAAATGTATTAACGGGGTTGTGAACCAGCTTGGTATAGTGATTAAGGTGGCAGTCTGGAAACTGGGAGATAGTGAATTCCAGTCTTACTTTATGTACAAAACCAACTAGGTGAGTCTGGTCCAGTCATTCTCCCTATCAGCCTTAGGAAGCGGACAATGACAAACCACTTCTGAGACCCAGCCAAGAAAACTGTACAGATCCTAGCAGTTGCCAGGAGTCAACATTGATTTGAAGACATACACACAGAAATTAAAAGGGTTATTCTACTCAGATGAGAAAATTCACATGACAAAAAGCAGTTCCTTAAACCTCTCTTTTGTGGTATCCAGAGACCCAGAGCAGGTCTCACAGTCAACTGAATGGACATTCAGTAGCTTAGTAGCTGGATTATAATTGTAATTATTAATTGAACCCAATGATGAGAGCTGCTCGAAGTTCACTATACTCTGAATGAAATAATTTCATGTTTTCTCTAACTCATCCTGTTATATGTGCTTGTTTGTTTTTTCTTTCATGTCCAGCTCCACTATTATCTGAAAAAAGTCTCATTTAATAACAGTGCTGGAGATGTAATTTCTTTTGATATGAATGGGAAATTGTTAGTTGGATTTGATATTATAAATTGGATAATATTCCCAAACCAATCCCTTCATCGAAGGAAAGTTGGGAAACTCGATCCTTGGGCTCCTCAAGAGAAGATGCTTATGATTAATGATAATGCTATCACTTGGCATAGTAGCATTAACCAGGTAGCCTCAAATTTTTATCTTCTATGATTTTCAGTTGACAATATTAAATCCCTTGTCATACAAATGTGCACAACTATTAACATGCAAAGATGGCAGACAAAGACTACAGGATTGCATTAAAAGAATGCAATATTCTTTAAAAATACAATTATGTATTTGTATAAAATAAGGCCTGTCAGATGGCTTGTTTGCCTACCAGCTAGGCAATTCAGTTTAAATTGCATTCAAGATTGATCTGAACTATTATAAATATTTGCATATTTAACATTATGTACATAATTTATTTGTCTATATTATGTGCGTGCTTGTGTGCGTATGTGTGTGTATGTGTGTGTATGAGAGAGAAGAGACATAGAATGCATATACATATACATATACATATGATGGCTTGTCTGACAGAGAGTGACTGGCCCAAAGCCATCCAGCTGGCTTTTGTGCCTAAGGCAGGACTAGAATTCAAAATCTGCTAGTTTCTAGGCCAATACCTTAGCTAATACAAGATAAATAGATGATAGCTAGATAATGGATGGATGGATGGATAGATAGATAGATGATAGATAGATAGATAGATAGATAGATAGATAGATAGATAGATAGATAGATAGATTACATATTGTATATAATGTACTACATATATTATATATTAAAATTAAATTAATTGAATCAAAATAACATTATCAAATTATAAAATATTATGTACAAAATAACATACATATCTACATCTATATTTATTTATTTTATTTATATATCATCCATCTCACTGTCAGGTAACTCCAGGCAGCTTAAAATATAAGAAATACAGAGCATTAAAACATTAAATACTAAAATATTAATATTGACAGAAATCAGGTAAATTAGGAACCAGAATACAGAATACAGTGGGGTGTCAGGAGGTATATCAATATTTGCATGAACACGTATGTCAATACTTATGTCTATAATTTCTGTATATCTCTAGCTAGCTAGCTATCTATCATCTATCTATCATCTATCTATTCTTCTATCTGAGAAAAGAGGAATTTTTAAGAGTTTTTTTATATTTTTATATCCATTCCATGAGAGAAGATTTAGAATAGAATAGAATAGAATAGAATAGAATAGAATAGAATAGAATAGAATAGAATAGAATAGAATAGAATACTTTAGTTGGCCAAGCTCTTAGTGTACATACAAATCAATGGAGTAAAAATAATCATTATAATAATGTCAATAAGAGGGCATAGTAAATAAGATAAGGATAATAATAACTCTACAGCCATATGACATCGGTAAAGGTACATAGACATTAATAGCACTGTGAGAATTAGATGTTCAGCAGAGTGATGGCATGAGGGAAAAAGCTGTCCTTGTGTTTAGTTGTTTTGGCATGCAATGCCCTATAGCACTGTCCTGAGTTGAAATAGTTTCAGGGGTCTGTAAATATTTTCTCCTTCTGACCTATGCAATATACAGGTCTTCTATGGAAGGCAGGCTGGTTGCAATTGTTCTTTTTGAAGTCTTAACAATCCATTGAGTCTGTATCTGTCTTGTTTAGTTGCTGTACCAAATCATACAGTTATAGAAGCACAAATGACAGACTCAATAATTCTTCTGTAAAACTGTATCAACATCTCATGAAGCAATCTGAATTTCCTGAGCTGATGCAGGAAGAACATTCTTTGTTATGCTTCCTTAGTGATGATTTTAGGTGTCAAATCCTGGAAGATTATAGAACCCCAAAGCTTGAAGGATTCTACTGCTGAAACTGGGCTGTTGAGTAAGAGGTAGTAGAATGAAAGGGCTCCTGCTAAAATCCACCCTCATCTCTCAATTTTAAGCATGTTCAGCTGCAGATTGTTCTGGCTGCACCATACTGGGCTATTGTTCAACCTCCAATCTATATGCAGACTCAGCACCATCTTCAATGAGATTAATGATTGTTGTATTATCTTCAAACTTCAGTATTTTAACAGAGGAAACCCTAGAAATGCATTGATATAAAGAAAGAAGATCAATGGAAAGGGCACAGAATCAGAGGGGTGCCTGTATTAATTGCCCGAATATTAGATGTATTAGATGTAATCTTCCCTAGTTTCACCTGTTGCTTCCTATCTGTTAGAAAGCCTACAAGTATGGACAGGCACAATTAGCTGAAGAATTTAGAATTTCTGGATGGGCTTCCAAAGAGAGCAATTTCAAGCAAGACAGACATTTCATTTCATAAGGGATACTCTATATGAGCTTTGATTGAAACAAAATATAATAATAATAATAATAATAATAATAATAATAATAATAATAATAATAATAATAATAATAATAAAAGACGAATAATAGAGAAAATAAATTATAAGGGTAAACTAGTTTCTCAGAAGGAATTAATTAAAAAATCTTTTTTGGATTATTATCAAAACCTATACAAATCTACTAATGTACAATTGTTAGATATAAATAAATATCTAGCTGAGGCAAGTTTTCCTAAACTGACTGAGGATCAGAAATATGAAATTAATGGTTTAATTACCAAGGAGGAAATTGCCTCAGCAATTCAACAATTGAAATTAGGGAAAGCACCGGGTACGGATGGGTTAACAGCTGTTTACTATAAAGCCTTAATGGAGGAGATGATCCAACCATTAAATGATCTTTTTAACGGTATCTTACAGGGTTTAGAGATTCCTCCTTCATGGCGTAGTGCTTTTATATCATTGATTCCGAAGGAGGACCAAGATCTTACTTTACCAAAAAATTATAGGCCTATATCTCTTTTAAACGTGGATTATAAGATATTTGTAAAAATTTTGGTAAATAGGCTCATGAGGGTGGTGCATCATCTTGTGCATAAAGATCAATCAGGGTTTATAACAGGAAGGTATATGAAAAACAATGTCAGACAAATTATTAACTTACTAGAATATTTAGACAAGAACAACCAAGTCTCTGCAGGGCTCATATTTTTAGATGCTGAAAAAGCATTTGATCAATTGAATTGGCATTTTATGTTAAGAGTAATGGAAGAAATGAATTTTGGTGAAAAGATATTACAAGCTCTTACGGTAATATATCAAAAACAAACGGCACAACTTATTGTTAATGGAGGTTTGTCGGAGGTTTTTACAATAGAGAAAGGTACTAGACAGGGGTGTCCTTTATCGCCATTGTTGTTTGTTTTAACATTGGAAATATTATTGATCAAAATTCGAGAGTCTCAGGAAATTAAAGGAATATATGTTAATAAAAAAGAATATAAGTTGAGAGCTTTTGCGGATGACTTGGTTGTTACTTTGTCGCAACCTGACTATTCTGTAGTAAACTTATTACAGTTGATTCACCATTATGGTTTGGTCTCGGGTTTTAAGATTAATGTAAATAAGACTAAAATTTTACCTAAAAATATGTCGAGTCAGGAGAAGCAGATTTTGGTTAACTTGACGGGCTTTGAGATTGTTAATAAGGTAAAATATTTGGGGGTGATGCTGTCTGTTTCTAATGCAAAATTATTTAAAAATAATTATGAAAGGTTGTGGGTCAGGGTACAGAAGGACTTGAAGAACTGGGAAAAGCTGCAATTATCCCTCATGGGAAGAATTGCAGTGATAAAAATGAATATTCTACCCAAGTTTCTTTTTTTGTTTCAAATGTTACCAATTTTGAAAAATGAGATTAATTTAAATGAATGGCAGAAGGGTCTCAATAAATTTATTTGGGCAGGGAAAAAACCAAGGGTTAAGTTCAAAATTATGCAAGATTTTCGTGAGAGGGGTGGACTCAAGGTACCAAATTTGAAATTATATTATGATGCGGTGGCTTTAACATTAATTAGTGATTGGGTAAATTTGACAAACTCTGAGATACTTTATTTAGAGGGATGGGATTTACTTTATGGGTGGCATGCCTATTTAATATTTAATAAAAAAATAGATTGGGCTTTTAAATCTCATATTTTAAGAATTTCTTTACTTAGGATTTGGAGAAAATATTATAAAAGTGATTTTAAAGTACCATTATGGGCTATACCTTGGCATGCGATAGAAGGAATAAAAAGAGGGGTTAAAATGGATATGGTGTCTTATAGACAGTTACTTAAATGGGATGGACAAAACTGGCAATTAAAATCACGGGAAGAATTAACACAAGAAAATTTTACTTATTCTTGGTTCCAATATAGGCAACTACTAGATAGATGGAAGATGGATTGTAAGGTGGGTTTTCTTAGAGAAGATGAAAATCTTATTAAGCAACTGAAGGATCAAAGACAAACCCACATTAAGAGAATTTATGGGGTTTTAGTTGAATTGGACTCAGAAACGGAACTAATTAAAGATTGTATGATTAGATGGGCGCAGAACTTTGGTGAGCCAGTTTTATTGGACACCTGGGAAACTATTTGGGTGAGAAATGTCAAATTTACTCAAGCACAGAATTTAAGGGAGAATTTTTATAAAATGTTTTATAGATGGCACCTTGATCCACAAAAAATGTCTTATATGTACCCTGACGTACAACCCAAATGCTGGAGATGTGGTTATAAGGAGGCTTCTTATTATCATATTTGGTGGTCATGCAGAGAGATAAAAGCATTTTGGATCAAAATATGGTGGAATATCCAGAGAATTTTTAGAAGGAGGGTAAAATTCACTCCGCAATTATTTTTGTTAGGTATTGTTACAGATTGTGATACAAAGGAGGTTGTATTGATGTTAAATTTGATTACAGCCGCGAGGCTGTTAGTTGGACAATATTGGAAGAAGGAATCTTTGCCTACATTGCAGGAATGGTTTTTTAAAGTAGCTTATTTGGCGGAAATGGCAAAGATTTCGGCTTTCTTAAAGCAACAAACGCAAGAGAAGTTTCTTGCTATTTGGGATAAATGGATAAAATTTATACAATTTAGATTGGGTATACAAAAATATCATATAGCTTTTTCATAAGTTTTATTTTCATATATATTATAGACATCTTTTTTATATATATAAATATAAAGTTTTTATTTTAATTCTTATCTTTATTTTTTTAAGCCTATATTCTGCTCTGGGAAGCTCAGAGGGGGGAAGGGAGGGTTTTGGGGAGGGGTTTGGGATGGGGTTTTTTTTTATATATGTATTGTTTAATTTTTCTTTTTTGTATATGTTGTTCTTTGTTTTGTATTGTTTTTGTTTTTTCTGTAAAATTTATAAAACTTTTAATAAAAAAAAAAAAAAAAAAAAAAAAAAAGACAAAATGCCAAATCCAGTCTGAACATCTGGCTGACTGTGCGATAATTGATAATAATAATATTAATAATAATAAAGGCGGCCTTACTAGAAACTGCTTCCATCCTGCGACGATACCTGTAATACCATCAAACATCCACATCTGCCTATCCCAGGTCCTGGGTAAGGACTCGATAGGTAGACAAAATGCCAAATCCAGTCTGAACATCTGGCTGACTGTGCGATGATCTATAATAATAATAATAATAAGATTGGAAGGGACCTTGGAGGTCATCAAGTCCAACCCCCTGCTCAGGAAGGTAACCCTATACAATTTCAGACAAATGACTGTCCAGTTTCTTCTTAAAAACTTCCAGTGTTGGAGCATTCACCACTTCTGGAGGCAGGTTGTTCCACTGGTTAATTGTTCTAATTGTCAGGAAGTTTCTCCTTAGTTCTAGGTTGCTTCTCTCTTTGGTTAGTTTCCACCTGTTGCTTCTTGTCCTGCCTTCAGGTGCTCTGGAAAATAGCTTGACTCCCTCTTCTCTGTGGCAGCCCCTGAGATGTTGGAACACCACTATCATATCCCCCCTCGTCCTTTTTTTCATTAAACTAGACATACCCAATTACATCAACCTTTCCTTATATGTTTTAACCTCCAGTCCCTAATCATCTTTGTTGCTCTTCTCTGTACTCTTTCTAGAGTCTCAACATCTTTTTTACATCGTGGTGACCAAAACTGGATGCAGTATTCCAAGTGTGGCCTTACCAAGGCATTGTAGAGTGGTATTAATACTTCACATGATCTTGATTCTCTCCCTCTGTTAATGCAGCCTAGCACTGTGTTGGCTTTTTTGGCAGCTGCAGCACACTGCTGGCTCATTTAAATGATTGTCCACTAGGACTCCAAGATCCCTCTCACAGTTACTACTATTGAGCAAGGTACCCCGTATACTATACCTACACATTTGGTTTTTCTTGCCTAAATGTAGAACCTTACTTTTTTCACCATTGAATTTCATTTTGTTAGATAGCACCTAGTGTTCAAGTCTGTCCAGATTCTCCTGTATCCTAAGCCTGTCTTCTGGAGGGTTGGCTATTCCTGCCAGCTTGGTGTCGTCTGTAAATTTGATGAATTCCCCATCTATCCCCTCATCCAAATCATTGATGAAGATGTTGAAGAGCACTGTGCCCAGAACAGAGCCCTGGGGCATTCCATTACACACTTGTAGATGTGGTTCCATTGAGGACTACACGCTGAGTACAGCTAGTCAGCCACGGATCCATCTGGTGGTGATGCTGTCTAACCCGCATTTTTCTATCTTATCAAGTAGTAGGTTGTGATCTACTTTGTCAAATGCCTTACTGAAGTCCAAGTAAATTATGTTCACAGCATTCCTCTGGTCCACTAATTTTGTCACTTAGTCAAAGAATGTAATAAGGTTTGTCTGGCATGATCTGTTTTTGACAAACCCATGTTGGCTTTTAGTAATGACTTGGTTTGCCTGTAGGTGTTCGCTGATTCGTTGTTTGATTATCTTTTTCAGAATCTTCCCAGGTATTGAGGTCAGGCTGATAGGTCTGTAATTTCCTGAATCAATTTTTTCCCCTTTTTTGAAGATGGGAACTACATCAGCTCTTTTCCAGTCCTCTGGTAGTTCCCCAGTGCTCCAGGATCTTTGAAAAATATAGTTCAATGATCACATCTGCCACATTCTGAGATCACATCTGCCAGTTCCTTGAGAACCTTGGGATGTAATCCATCTGGTCCTGGTGACTTGAACTCTTCTAGGCTGGACAGGTGCTCACTTACCATTTTCTTGTCTACCTTAACTTGTGTTTCTATTCTGTTTTTTATGGCACTATTTTTGATAGGTTAATCTGCTTTTTCCCTTTGTGTAAAGACAGATGCGAAAAATGAGTTAAATAGTTCTGCTTTCTCTCTGTTGCTTGTCACCTTCTTGCCACTTTCACCCACTAATGGACAAATCATTTCCTTCACCTTTTTCTTGTTTTTTACATGTTGAAAGAAGCTTTTTTTGTTATTTTGACTTTGGTCGCAAGCCTTAGTTCATTTTGAGCCTTAGCTTTCCTCACTTCATCTTTGCAGGCTCAGGCTATTTGCTGATATTCTGACTTAGTTATGTGCCCCTCTTTCCACTTTCTATACTTGTCCTTTTTATCTTTCAATTTGTCAGAGAGTTCTTTATGCAGCCATGCTGGTTTCTTTTGAGAGTTGTTATTTTTCCTCTTTGTTGATATTGTGCTAGACTGAGCTTTTATTATCTTATTTTTCAAAATTTCCCAAGCTTCTTGAGTTGTTTTCCCCTGGAGGATTCTCATCCATGGAATCCTTCCCAAGCCCTCTCTAAGTTTATTGAAATTAGTTCTCTTGAAGTCCAAGACTCTAGTTTGACTGTGTTCTATTGCTTGTGCTTCCATAATGTGGAATTCCAATATTGCATGATCACTTCCTCCCAGGGTTCCTATGGCTTCCATCATTTCATCTCTGTTAGTGAGAATTAGATCCAAAAATGGCTATTCCCCTAGTTCCCTTCTCTACTTTTTGGGAGATAAAGTTGTCTGCTAGGTTTGTCAGGAATCTGTTTGATCTTCCACTTGGTGCAGAGTTTGTCTCCCAGTTCAGGGTAGTTAAAGTCCCCCATAACTATTGTGATATGCTTCCTACATACCTTAGTTAACTGACTAGCAAAAAGCTCATCTATTTCCTCTGTTTGGTTGGGTGGCCTATAGTATATACCTATGGCAATGTCATTTCCCCCCCCCTTTTGTATTGACCCAAAAAACTTTCTTTGAAGTTTTCTAGAATCCTAAAATGCTAAGGAAATAAATGTTCCAGAAACTCAGTATGAACTCAGTGTAAATGTAATGTAATGTAAATACGTGCCATAAGTATGTCTGAATCATATTGCAACTAGTATCCAGATGGGCAATTCAAAAACTTCTGTAGACATATCAGTCTTTAAAAATCTAAACTTATGTTCTGAACATTTTCAAATATTTTCCTGAAGGGTAAAACTTTACTTTTCCTCATTTATGGATTAGATTATACCCACATCTGTTTGTTCTGTTAGCTGCCATCCTGGTTATTTCAAACAAAAGCAAGAGGAGAAACCACCTTGCTGCTATGACTGTATTGTATGTCCTGAAGGGAAATGGTCAGGCTTGAATGGTAAGAGCTATCATTCAACTCTTAATAACCCTAGTTTGCTTTTCTTCTGTATGGTGGTAATATCTATGCACATACACAAAGTTGATGGCAGAAAAAGAGTGCCAGAATTATTCAAACTTATTGTTTTAATTTAACTCATCATTGTTTAAAACAATATATTTCATCAGAGAATTTTATTATAACAATAAAGCAACATCAATTACATATAATGACACTATTGCAATTAATAATTTAACACATATTTATTTTAAGTTAGCTGAACTAGAGTAATCTTATTTTAAATATTTTTTTTTAAAAAAATCAACCTGAAATAATTAGTAGCAAAACAGTGCAGTTCCATATTCTTTTCTTTATAATCTGCACATTTCATTGAAGATCTGTAAATAATATTTTTCTTCATGTTTTTTTAGGAAGACTTTAGTGGTTTAGAAGTCTGCTGTTCTTACTTAAATATTCAAAAGCCTGAATTAAATAAAAAGAAAGAAATATTTAGATTGCTTGACATTTCATTCCCAGATTGTTAGAATTTTTAATACAATGCCATAAATAATTAATTCATTGATTGTATGCCATCAAGGAGGGGTCAGATTTAGTGACCATATAGCTAAGTCTTCTCTAGAATAAGCAGTAATAAACTGGGTTTAAAACTGAAATATAATTCTAAATCACAATAATCAGAATATTTTTGTAATACTGAGGATAAAAATATCTATGAAAAAACAATGAAAATGAGTCTTTCCATTTTTTTAGATGCTGAAGACTGTTCAGGATGCAAAGAAGATCAATATGCAAGCAAAGATAAAACTTCCTGTATTCCCAAGAGAGTAACTTCCTTGACTTACGAAGAACCTTTGGGCATTGTTTTGACTATTGTGGCCCTCTCATTTTTTTTATTCACAGCTATGATTTTTGGAATATTTTTGAAACATCATCACACCCCCATTGTCAAAGCGAATAACCGGGATCTCACCTACATTCTTCTCATTTCTCTCCAGCTCTGCTTCCTTTGTTCATTGCAGTTCCTTTTTAGACCTGGGGTTATAATATGCCTCTTTCGACAAATCACTTTTGGACTCATCTTCTCAGTGGCTGTATCATGTATCTTGGCCAAAACCATCATTGTGGTTTTAGCTTTCCTGGCCACCAAGCCAGGATCCAGAATGAAAAAGTGGGTAGGGAAACAATTGGCAACCTTCATTGTACTTTCCTGCTCTCTTGTCCAAGCAGTCATTTGTATATTATGGCTGGCAAAGACTCCCCCCTTCCCAGATGCTGATATGATGTCTGTTACTGAAGAAATTATACTAGAATGCAATGAAGGCTCAGTGTTCATGTTTTATTGCATCCTGAGCTATATGGGTTTCCTGGCAGCAGCCAGTTTTATAGTGGCTTTTCTGGCCAGGAAACTCCCCAGCACTTTCAATGAAGCCAAGCTGATCACTTTCAGCATGTTAGTCTTTTGCAGTGTGTGGTTAGCTTTCATTCCAGCCTATCTGAGCACTAAAGGAAAATATGTGGTGGCTGTGGAGATTTTTTCTATATTAGCCTCTAGTGCTGGGTTACTCAGTTGCATATTTTTACCAAAATGCTATATAATTCTCTTGAAACCTGAGTTAAACCAGAGAGAACTACTCACACAGAGAAAATATTAACAAACCCCGTGTTTCATTTAAATTGTTCCTGACTATTATTCTTTAAGCTGTGTCCTATTAGGTATGCTAGCAATTATGGAATGTAGGCATGATTATTTCAAAAGAATCTCTAGAAATGTTTACTGCTACTAGAGTCATGGCATTAAAAGTTGTCAGTTATTCACAAGACTATAATGAAAAACAGGGTTTTAGTCACACGGTATTATACATATTACTTGAGTATAATTTTGAGGATAGATTTATTTGTCACATTACATTGCTATTCTGTGCAGCTTTTCCCTGTGCATCAGTTCTTGCTTTTCCAATGATCTCCAGGAAATGAAGTGGTAGAACAGACATCTGGAGTATGGTTGGATGAGAAAAGGAGTGAATCTCATTAAACATAATTCAAATTCTGCATTCAGGGATATATCATGATGATACGAGTGCTAAAACATCACACTATTTCTCTGTGCTTATTATGTTATCTGATAGACAACTGGTGGCCTGATTTAGGGTGATCTCTTCTTTGCTGTGGAGAGCCAGGCCACAAGATCTGACCTCTTCGGGGGCTACAGGGAAAACTATACATGCTATCTGGTGGCTACAATTTATCACATACACTCAGAGTTGGCCTTTAGACAGGTCCAGATAGGTTGCCTGGAATATCACCTTATGGCAGACATGTCAAACACAAGGCCCGGGGGCCCACAAAGTGGTTTCATGTGGCCCACAAAGCCATCCTGGAAACAGTGAAGGAACAGTCCCCATTGCCTTGGCCCTGGCCCAGGCTGGCTGGGAGCCAATGTACAATTTCTATGCTGAAACACATTCAGTCTTACCTCCACAAGGCCATCTGGAAACAACGAGGAACCAGCCCCTGCTGCATCGGCCCCACCCCATGGGTGCAGGCTGGGGAGGAATCACTTTTGTGAGGAATGAAGAAATGCACCATCGCACTGGCCACTTCCAGGCAATGGTGCATTTCTTTATTCCTCACGAAGGGTGACACCTCCCCAGTTGTGGTTCTTGCCTGTTTTTCTCCCTCCCTCATCTCAAATATTTTCCCACCCACCACCCGCACTTAGGAAGGAAGAAAGGAAAGAGAGAAAGAAGGAAAGAAGGAGAGGGAGGGTCCAAGGGAAGTCCTGCTTTAGTCCTGCCCTGCTGCCCTTTCACCATCCTCTTGCCCCCTCCTCCTGGCCTATCCTGGGGCTCTCCTATCCTATTGCTAAGGAAGCTTTGGATACAAAGCTGGGTCTCTCCCATGAAGAAGGAATAGACCTCCCTCTGACTTTGCCCTTGTACTAATAATGAGCAACCTGGCTAAAGAGAGCAAGCACAGCAACAACAGCCTTGAGGAGCAGGTAAGTGCAGCTGGGTGCCCCCTTGGGGAAGTGGGGCTGGGCTTGGTGCTGCAGGTGCTTGAGAGCCAGGCTGGGCATTTGACCTCTGCTGCCCAGGGCTCCGGGCAGGCCACACCACCATCCAGCCTCCCCCGCATGGCCTGAGAGGAATAGTGAGGCTCCTCCAGTGGACCATGCCTTGGCACTTGCCCTGGTCCCATCCCTTTCTGCCAGAGACCCTAAGATCTGTCCCACTCCTTCCCAGACCCCCACAGGCACCCTTGACATGAACGATGTAGAGCTGGCCACGCCCACCAATAGGCCACACCCACACGCCCCCTGAGGGCAACTGCAATGCTGATGTGGCCCTCAATGAAATTGAGTATGACACCTCTGCCTTATGGTGTTATCTGGATTGACCTTAATGAAGTGGACTGACTTGTAAGGTATATCAGGAATCATCCTGCCTCATCTACATGGAACTGCTAGGTTAGATCATCCTCAGTTCAGGGTTTAGTGTCATTAGTATATGAATGGTACTCATAATCAATCCCAGATTATGTAGTTGATACTGTCAATACATCAACCCAGTGTCTGGTGATTATTCAGGTCTGAGTCAGTGTGAGAAAGATTTTGACTCAATCTTGAGAAAAGTATTTGATCCCTCCCACATACAGGGCAGGATAAAAGACATTTTTATATTTGATTTGGGGGAGTTTGCACTTTCCCATTTGAAACTAGTGTGCAAATTGGAGGATGTCATCTAGTTGCAACTACTCCTTGAAAAGCAGGTGGCAAGTAACCAGGAGAACCTCAGTATGGGTAGATCATATGGACCAGTTGCATTCTATTGTAGACCAAGATGCCCTTCAGATGGTTCAGTTCAAGATTCTAGTCACCACCTATAAAGACTTCATGGCATACAGCCTGTTTATTGGAGGGTCTCACTATTTCTGCCAGTCCATTCTGTTCATAGTAGGTCTACTCCAGGTACCCTCAATTAAATGTCATATGATGGGAATGAGAAATCATGTTTTCTTTTTCAGCCTCTGGTCTCTGATACAGCATCCCTCCCCTCCCCAGAGATATCCCTGATTCCCATTCTCCTTGTTTTCTGGAACTTGCTTAAGAGCAGGCTCTTTTCTGAGATCTACAGATAGGATGGTTGTAGAACCCTATTATTTTCAGCATGCTATTATTTTGGTTCATTCAGCTTTTGTGATTTTAATGTGTTTTTAATCTATGCATTAGATTTATTGTTAGCCTCCCTGAGTTTTCTTGATATTGAATGGTTTTAACAAATCGAATCAATCAAATACATCCATCAATCCATCCAATAAAAAATACATAAATAAATTTGGGTTGACATAAATCTTGTGTTTATCATTCAAAGAATTATGTACCCATTATCATCTAAAAATACACAAATGACCTCCAAACAAGTTTTAAATTTCCCAGTAATTTATTCCATCAGAACTAAGTATAAAACATTTTTTAAAATTAAAGACAACTTATAATGTAAAACAGTATTTCAGAATGTTATTTATAAAGAATAATATCACAGCATCTTGTCTTCAAAGCTCAGATTGGCAAGGTTTGAAGGATTATGTCTGTGAAGATTCTCAATCATCCAGATCTTGGTTGTCCCAAAGGTATGTTTTCCAAAAGGCAACTGGATTTTCTTGGGTTTTTTTTCTTTGAAAATGTTTCCCTTCTCATTCAAGAAGCTGAAGAACTGAACTGAAGAAACTTCTTGGATGAGAAGTAAAATGCTTTCAAAGGAGAAAAAAAAACCAAGAAACTACAGCTGCTTTTTGGAAAAAGCACCTTTGGGTTTGAAGGACATCTTACTATGCAAATGACTTCTTAAACAAAGAATTATTTGAAGAACAGGGTAAAAGTGCTATGCAATGATAAAATATGTTACAGGTATGAAACTAAAAATTTATAATGTTTAGGGATTTTTTTCTTGTTAATTGTTCCCATGTATTTAGCTTAGGTTTCAGCAAAATAATATAACATTTGGGGAAAAAAATACAGCCCAACAGCCCAGCACTGGAAGCTAAGATTGAAAAAATCTCCACAGCCACCAAGTATTTACCTTTCGTGCTCAGATATGTTGGAACAAAGGACAGCCAAACACTGCAGAAAACCAACATGCTGAAAGTGATGAACTTGGCTTCATTAAAACTATCAGGTAATTTCCTGGCAAGGAAAGCTACAGTGAAATTTGCACATGCCAAGAAACCCAAATAACCAAAAACATAGTAAAACATTCCATCGGATCCCTCACTACATTGCAAGACAATTTCATTAGACACTGAGTGTATATCAACAGAAGGAAATGGGGGAGAGGTTGTCAGCCATGCAGCACAAATACTTGCTTGAATAAGGGAACAGCAAAGAATAGCGGAAGTGCCTAGTTTTCTCCCTACCCATTTTTTCATCCTTGATGCTGGATTAGTGGCCATAAAAGCCAAAACAACAGTCATGGTTTTGGCCAACAAACAAGAAATAGCCACTGAAAATGTAATGGCAAAAGTAGTTTGTCGGAGAGGACAGATCACCTGAGTAGGTTTGCCAATAAAGAGTAATGCACAAAGAAAACAGAGTAAGAGTGAGAGGAGGAGAATGTATGTGAGATTCCTGTTGTTGGCTTTGACAATAGGGGTGTTGTGGTGCTTCAGAAATATTCCTAGAACCAGAATGGTTATTAAGGAATATGAAAGTATCCCGAGAATTAAACCAATCCCCAGGGGTTCTTCATAGGACAAAAAGTCTATGCTCTTGGGAATGCATAAATTGTGATCTTTGTTTGGATAATTATTTTCTTGGCATTGAATACACTCAGCTGCATCTGGAGGAAAAAAGAACAGCTGTGATTTCTCCAAAGTCTACATTCTCTTTTGAAATTAAGACCTGTTCAACTGAATGCTGGAATAGGAAAAACAGCTTACTCTAAATTCTTCATACAGATTACATCAGAATATAGATGTTCTAATCAATTCATAATTGTTCTGCAAAAATTTCACAAGTGCTACTTTCTGTAAAAGTGGGACTGTTTACATCAGGGGTGTCAAACTGTCGGCCCACGTGACGTCGCGAGTTTGACACCCCTGGTTTACATTATCTTCAGAGTTCCATTAGCATGCTCCCTGTACTCCACTTTGAATTACAAAATGCTTGGAGAATCAAGAAAAGGTATAGGTTTAATATTCTCAGAAATGAAATATGTAGAAGAAATTATTTTGGGGTATCACACAAAAATGAATATAAAATTCTGACTATTAGGGAAATGTATGTACAAATGAGCATTATTGTTCAGGAACATCGTTGGCTAAAATAAAGTATTACAGAATCAGAGAATACAAATTTTCCTATAAATGTTCTGAATGATTTCTGATTATTTCTATTGATAATGATGATGTTGATGAAAATGCTGCTGATGATGATGATTTTGCTTTTTGCTTTATTAAGGCTGACATTTAAAAGTTAAGTTTTTCTATATTCATAAAACAAAGGAGAAAACAGTACATAGAATGCGCACGTGCGCGCGCGTGCGCATACACACACACACACACACACACAATGCATCTTTAAAATTGCTCCACTCTGGCTTTGTACCTATTTTGTACTCATTTTTAAATTCTTTGAGATTTTATCTATATAAACTTTAAAGATGCAAAATAAACAAAAATGAAATTTGGGGGGAAAAGGGGATCATAAAATTTTATCCTCTTGCCAGAGACCAATATATATTTTTCTTTAAAATGTAATTCTTCTCTTTGATGATCAGTACACAACTCTCACCCTTTATTGTAGATATCTTCCCTTCTGAACATGGAACGCAATCATAACAGCAGAAGGGTTTCCCTTCCTTCTTTTGCTTGCTATATCCAGAATGACAATTGTCATTACAGACAGAAAAAGGCTGTGTCTAATGCATCAATAAATATAATAAGAAATGGTTAGACTCTTTAATATCATAAACAGAAGGATTTTTTTTCTTTTGCGGCAAAAAAAACCTGCAGTAGGGATGTAATTAAATTAAATTAAATTAAATTAAATAATTAAATTAAATTAAATTAAATTATTAATATTCTAAATCCAAGACTGAATCTGAATTAAACAACTGAAAATTATTTATTTATACCCAGTACAATTATAGCCAATATAATTTTTCTTGTTGCATTTCCTATGACATTTGAGTAAAATCAGTGAGCATATAGTATACCCAAAAATGCAAACTATTATTTTCTTACCATAAGTCATCCCAATTTTCCCTCCTTTGAAATATTTATATCCTATCATACAAAAGTAAAAATAAACAATGCATTTTTTTCCAGAAATATTTCACACAGGTTTAAAATAACTGTTCAAGTCATATATAGTAAAAACATACAATAAAAAAGTAAAAAGAAGAAAGAAAGAAAGAAAGAAAGAAAGAAAGAAAGAAAGAAAGAAAGAAAGAAAGAAAGAAACTAGGAGAATTTATCTGCATCTCTTTTCAAAGTTGGGTAAGATCAGAGGCCATCATAAAATTATTCCAAGACAAAAATAAACTGTCAGAGCTCTAGAGAACAATTCTTGTAGGCTTCTCAAAATTAAAATGCACTGAAAATATTTGGATTCTGTTTCTTAAAATTTCAGTTTCTTTACATTATTTCAAAATGTGGGTACTGCTCCAGATATGCATTTAAGTCATACCTGATTAAACCAGTTGTGCCACACAATAACATCATGGTTGATGGTAAATGCTTGGTTAAGATTAGAGTTTTGGCGATCCATTCTTCCAATCTTTACTCTAGCAAAGGACTGATTTGGGAATGTAATCCAATTTATGATATCAAATCCTGCTACTACTACTCCATTCTGGTCAAAAAAGATCTCATCTCCTGCACTGTTGTTGAACCAGACTTGCTTCAGAAAGGAGTGAAGCTAGGATGAAAATACCCTTATTCAGTTTTGCCTATATCACTTCTAAAATCTATACATCTCGGAGTGGTTATATGTAGCATTATCAAATAAAATAATTGCAGTTTAAGCTTAATAGTACAAGTTGGTGGCTACATATAGAGCACAGTTTGAAAGAATGCTTAACAGGTATCAGTGCTGCATTTAAGAGAAAAGAAATCATTCTTTACAACAGGCACCACAGGAAAGAAATCTTATCTCCATTTTGTGGCAAGGTGACAAATCTGCAAGTCAGGCCAGAAGTAACACAATGTCTGTGGAATGAAGAGCTGATATAAATGGTAAACTAATTTGGTCATATGATATTCAAATCTTTCTATACCTATTGAAATTCCTGAATCTGGCTTGGTACAGATTGTCTTTCTATGCAGAATTTTAACATTAGTGGGAATAAATGCAGGATAAAACTGAGTAGTCAGCAATTTAGCCTTCTGAATTTCCACCTTCCAAATAGAAGCTACCATCTGGAACAGGGGTGTCAAACTCGCAATGTCACGTGATGTGTCACAAGGTATCACAACTTTTTTGCCATTGCCGGCAATTGGATGAGAGCAGTTTCAGTGTGATGCATCCATTCCGCAGGCTGGCAGTTTGACACCCCTGATCTAGAAAGTAGTTGCAGTAATCCAGGTTTGACATAACCAGTACATAACTCAGAAAGGCTAAACTGTTCCAAGTAGAGCAAATTTACCAAGCTGGTAATGGACACCATTAGTCAGTGGCAATGCTAGAACTAGGAGTTCCTCAGATTACAGATCTGTTTTTTGAGATGAATTTAATCTAGCCCAGAATAATCTGTTTTTAATTTCAAAAGCTGGAAATAACTGATCTATAGTCTCTCCATCTCTCTTGGTCAATCTTTCTCTAGGAAGTTAAACATCTGCCTTTTGGGGATGTAACATTAAAGTTTCCGGGGCATAGACATGCTTTTCCTTATATCAATTAATTTCAATCATGTTAGAAATCTTAAATCTTCAATCTCCTTACTGATGACTAGCACAGTGACTAGCACAATTATGAAACTGTCACCTCCTTCCCTCCTGCCTTTCACAAATAATGTGAGGTTTAATGAGACAGGTGGTAAGCATTTTGACAGTGTTGCTAAACTGTTGATCTTTGGTTGTGTTTATTATAAACACACCTATTGTTCTCAAGACATGAAAGTTTTCTGTTGGCATATGCTTATAGTGGTAGATTATGCAGTTCTCACAGGACTTACTTGCCATGGTTGATAATTCAGTTTTATTGTCTTCTCTTCTTTCATCATTATTCTAGATCTGGAATTTGATGTGAACAATGCACCCAAGGAATGGGCCACTGCATAGACAGCATTATAGATGCTGTAGCTGTGACCAGTCATACTTGTTTCAAAAAAGGGTCCCAAAAGGCTTTCCAGTCTCTCCTCTCCAGTGCAGATATCACCCTCAATTTGACCTGAAAAAGTATTGGGGAAAACACAGCGAAAGGCCTGTTCCCAGAAATCTATGATTAAACCATCTCCTGTTACACTGGAAGGTTTCCTTCCATGAATAAACATTTTAAATTGCTGCAGGTCTTTAGAATGGATTGCAAAAGACAAAGCACCATGGAGAACCTGAATATCCCAAACCCATTGATAAACAAGTGATTTTATCTCCATCTGGGCAGTAAAAATCCAGACTTTACCCTTTGGTTTGCATAAACTGACTTCTATTTCTGGAAAGTGTAGCACCCATCTCAAAAATATGATGGAATCAGCTTCTCCGTAGAAGACCAAAGCATTGGCTGCACTGCTCATGACTTTTTCATACATTTCAGACCCTTTTCTTATTATATCTTCCTTATAATCTTCAAAGCTTACATTCTCAGGGCATGTTTCTGCGAAAGCTAAACAGATACCCCTCTCAGAAAATAATGGAAGCATGAGCTTCAGAAACATTTCTCCATTATCTTTATCATCAGCAATGAATCCAATCCATAACCATTTGAAATGGAGGAGTAACTGAAGAATTCCTATATACTGAAGGGCGTCATCTGGAACCATCTGATAAGGGGAAAGGAATTCAGTTTTACCTGTCCTCTTTAGAGTGGAACCATACAGGAGCTACAAACAGATTTAGAAATGAGGTGAGGTGATGTATAGAAATGTCAAATACAATGTTGATTTCTGTAGAGTATTGTGAATCAATGTATTATTATTGTTGTAGTTTTGTCCTAAGCTAAAATTATTAACCTAAATATTTCTAGCAATTTACTATGGGAACTAATATCTATAAATCCATGCTTCATTGCCTGATATATCAATATGATTGAGGAGGCCAATGGTTATTTCTTTGTTTTTTGCTATAGGAATGAATGTTTTTAGGAAAAAAAGTCTGCTTTCTTTTCTACAACTTTTTTACATTAATTTTGTTGATGTGGCACTTAAAAAAGAATAATTGATGAGACCAAAATTTTAATTCTGCCTTATAGCATTATAGAAAATATGGATATTTATTAATTGTGCTATTGAAGGGTGCTTTTATTTACAGTAACAATAATGTTGAGAATAAATGACAACCTAATGGTGGGGTGGAGTATCAATGGGTGATGATAGGTATTGAGAGCTTGATGAAAATAGAAATGGAATTAATAAGCACATTACTCCAAATAAATGGCAAAGCAAAGCAACACATAGATAAGTATTTGTCTAATCATATTTTTGGGATTTTTTAAATGAAAAAATTGATGATAATCTTTAACTATAAACATTTTAAAAATAATAATTCTTATACTTATATTTTCCTATACTGTTTCCAGTTTCCTCATTCATATATTCTTTTAAACTTAATTATCCTATGTTTTACATATGTTTCCAAACATCACTTTTTGTCCCTCTATCACAACTTTTTTTTTTTTCTGGCGCATGATCGACCGACATGGCGCACCTTGGTGTACCAGGGTTCCCAGACATACGAACACAGAAGGACAATCTTGGCACAAGAAAAGTGAGCACTCCGCAAAGCCAGAGCTGCAAATGCTGAAGTAACAGTGTCTACATTTCTTTGTTCAGTATGTGGCAGAACATTCCGTGCTAACATTGGTCTTATTAGCCACCTATGGACACATCGTTGATGGCCCATAACCCACAAGATGTCAAGGTCTTCATCGAAATCGATGGACGAACAACATCACAACTTAAAACTACACAATTCTGTGTACAGTTTTTAAGATGAGAAATTATTTTAGGATGGTAGTAACCTCTCATTTGCCTATTCATGAAGAGCACATGATATGATTTGAACTGAATTGAAACAATTTCATAAAATTACATATGACATTAATTAGAAGACATTTCTGCCTGCATAAAAATGCATTGCTAAATGGGCTATTAAATATAAAGGTAAACGGGAACACCCCATTTTGTTTTATTTCCACATTCTGTACATGCATCCTACCTGTGGAGTCTTATAGATACCCAAAACATTTGTTATCAGGTGGGAGGTCTCTGAGTGAAGTCCCCCTATGATTGCACTTAGTTTATTCTTGAGGCCACACTCGTAATTGGGAATAAATTTGTTTTTTGTTGAAATAAGTTGCATTGTGGCTTGGTAAGTCAATCTGGCATCAGAGTAGATATCATACATGTGGAATCCCAGGGTGACATTGGGTAAAATGAAGGGATTTTCATTTATCTTTTTTACTGCAAATTCCAAAGCCAAGACGTGCTGATAGTTCTTAGTCACCATGCTACAAAAAGATTTCCATCAGTTACAAGGATATATCTTGCTTCATAAATTAGGTCATTTACTTTTTCAATTCACATATTACATTATTTTTAAAATTCTGTATTTCCTGAGGTAATTCTCATGATGATCTCTTACAGCAATTTTTAAAGAGAGGTGTAAATACATTTATTGCTCTTTCTAATAAAAAGTGAAATTCTTTAAAACGTGTGCAAAAACCATTTCTAAGCAATATTTTCTGTTTTAAAATGCATTGTTCCGGTGAGGTTTCTTTCTTCCATTTAGTTATAATGCAAAGGTGAATATTTCAAAGAATTTTTCAAAAAAAATTATGAATGTCATAATATGAAATGGTATTTATTTGAACACATGAAAAAAATAAAATGAAAAGGCATAAACAATGGAAAGAAGTTAAAGTGAAAAATTGAGGAAAAATGTTGGAACAAAAGATAGCATTATGAAAGTAATGTATTCTGAGGTGGGTTTGTTTGTTTTTTACCAAGGAAAGGGAATCATTTATTGAATTTTTACTTTATATAACATAATATAAATGATATTTACAATGGACTCTTTAAGGTAAATAAAGACTTCTTCAATGGTGATAGAACTGAATGTTATGCCTTTTGATCTCAAACAAAATGGCATTTGCTACATTTTTCTAATTCAAATAATTGTTTTCTTGGACGCATAGAGTAAATGAACAATGTTAATTTTAGGTAAGGGCAATGCTGTGCTGCCTTTGTGAAGTGTTCTAAACACAGGGAATGGATATGCAGCAATAAAATGAACAGAACCTTTAACAATCGCAACTCCAGCTTCAATTCCTGCATCACTCTTCTGAACACACAATTGGCCATTTCAAATGTATGAATCCGCTGAAAAAAGTGTTGTGGGGAAAATCTTACATGATTTCTTCAGATGATATTGGAAGAGGTTGTTGGCTGAAGTCTGCTGGAATAGACAAGATGAAACTTTGAGAAATGATGCCACCAACTATAATGTCTCCTAGCTGATCATATTGATGAAGAATGGGAGGAAGGTTTTGGAATCTACATTTAGTAACCTTACATGATATCCAGCAAAATAGAATCAGTAGAAATATCACTGATAATCCATATGCAGAGCAAATTTTCATTTTAGTGCAGATGGAGAGTTCAGTAATGAACATTTGCTAATAATAAAAGTCCTGTCATTCCTAAAATCTTATTTTCCATCTCTGAAAAACAACACCTATTAGCAATCACATTGGTATACAGTAGAATTTCTCCATGTGGAATTTTTGAATGATAGGTAAGGGAATTGCATTTATACCACCATTCATAATGGATATTTTGTTATTATCTATTTTAAATCCAGAGCCAATTTAGAAAGCGGCATCACTAATTGTAATAATTACACTGTGGTTTTAGGCTGTGTTACAAATATTTACTCTTCAGACAGAAAGAGTTTAAATTGAAAGTTTAAAACTGAAAGTTTTAAAAATAAATAAGTTCAAAAGATCTGATTCCTGAAAGAAACATGCAAATGTTTCATCACATAACTGGCCTATATGAGAGGAAGAAAATTCTAGAGAAAATAATATCAGGATCCTACACTTCCCTGTATTTTATATTAATTGCATTTTTCTTCTGTAAGCAAAACAGATTACCATCCTGGTACAGGCAGTTCTCACTTAATAACAATAAGTGGGATCAGTCATTCTGTCAGGAAGAAAAGCAGTAGCTAAATAGGAAATTTATATTTCTTTATGTTTCCTTTTCCCCACTTCCCCCACCCTTTGGAATGCTGCCCTCAGTCCCTGCAGTGCTGAGACAGCTCAACATTTATAAAACTAATAAGTTTTATAATTTTTTTTAAAAAATGGCTTTTGTTGCTTTCTAACCACTCCACCATCTTTTAAAATGCTCATCCTAGGATAATTAGCAAAACAGGGATTAGTTTGCACTTATATTTGTTTAAAAGGAGGAGACCACAAGAAGGCAGGCACACAATGGAGAATACATATTGAAAGCAATTTGTATTGGCACTGACAATTGCAAGCACACTCAACCAATGTAAAATAAGAGCAAAATAGAAAAAACAGACAAAATATTTGTAATATTAGTAATGGGATATGACAAGAGATAATATAAAGCCTTTCTATAAGCAATTAAGTATTTTTCCCATAGATAAACTGGAAAAATATAGTATTCTTCTCAAACACAGATACTTGCATTAACGTTCGCATAGCATTGATACACCTTGATTCCAAGATGAAAAAGTACAGAAAAATGAAAGAATAAAATCACAATCCAGATATAACACAGATATATGTTTACAATTTGTCAGATTATAATACACAATCTTCCCTTCAACAATAAAGCAGTTTTCCCAATGACTGGGGAAAAAAGTTTACAAACAGAGATGTATCTGTGAATGTTTGCATACTATTTGCTTAATTTCAAGATATCTCACAATGGGGGGGGGAACAGAAGAAAAGTACATTATAGAAAGTCCAGAAAGAAAGACAATGATGTCTGAATTATTTAAGGGAAAAACAGAAAGAAAAACTTGAAAAACGTTTCAATTCATATTTTATCAAAATTTACCAAAATAATCAAAACTGAAATATAAATAAAAAATGAATTCATCCTTCTATATTAGGACAACACTAAAATAATTATAGATAAGAAAAAAAACTTTTATTTAATGTGTATATAAATGTCTGTCCTATTATAGAAAATGGTTTACAAATATGTTCATTTTAGAGGAGCAAAATGTATGTATTTTTGGAGACATTCAGATGAAATCTGTTTTTATGTGTACCTCAAAATTAGTAACTGAATCCAAAATATATCAAGGTTTGAAGGAATAAGAAACAGAGTAAAATATTTGGCAGATTGATTATGTATGGCAGATTTATTTATCCCGAGCAAGAAAGATAGCCTAAATATTTTAGGATAACTAATCTGATCCTTACAATACCTATTCCTGGACAGATAGAAGTACATATATGTATTCTGGAGCCAATCTCAAATGTCTCTTACAATATCAAGTTCTGTCACTTCTGGAACAACCCAACTACTTTTCAAAAATCAGACTGACATAAAGAGCAGTGACCAATATTTGTCCTACCTAGCATGACAGTGATTAAACATGATAATTTTAGTCAGAAAAATCTGGCCGTATATAACTGATATTGTTGACTCTTAAAAGTAAATTAATACTTCAGAGGTATTGTAAAACTATTGATAGAGAATTTCATGAAATGCAGTCTGAAGTTTTATTCCAACTGAAACTAAAATAGTTCATGTAAGAGCCAGTTTAGTGTAGCACACAATAATATAGATAGGAATGTGTAGACTAATGGATTTCTATTGAGGTTTGCCACCAGAATACAACTAAATAATATCTGGTATGTTTTTTATTTTAATTTTTTTGTAAGAATGGATCCCTCAGATGAGAATGTTGTACTGATGAACCCTTCAAATTTACATTACTTCCTATGGCTGCTGGGTCATAAATGTCCATCTCTCTTTTTCTCCATTTTTTGTGCTTGAATCTAAGTAAATATATGACACATAAAGCATGAGCCATAGCAAAGAAAGCATTATACTTAGATGCTGTAGCTTTGATTAGAAATGGTTCTACAAATCAGTTTTGTAACCTGCAGTTTATCCAGTCCAGTGCAGAGATCACTACTTCATAACCCAGTTGGGAAAAGTGCAGCCAACAGTTGCTTATTTAAAAAAAAAAATCTTTTGCATTACAAAGCTTTCAGTCCTAAATAAATTGCTAAACTCGCAGCCAATTGGAATGGATAGCCAAGGATGATAGACTGGTTTAGCAGGGTTTTGATCCCATTTATTGCTACTTAAATTCTAGATGAGAGGTCAAATCCCACACTTTACCTTTTGCTCTGTTTGTCCTTTCACTATCTCTTCCGTGATATCATGGAAGCAACCAGTCCAAAATTACTAGAGATCAAACATTACTAAAAGGAGAAACAGACTGGCTGTCCTTGTCATGATTCTACTCCATACATTAAATACCCATTTCCTTAAATCCCCATGTTCATTTTCCATGCCTACTTTGTAGACTGCTTCTATAAAAGCAAAATAAATCCCACAACTGGCAAATTTTGGAAACATGCTTTGAAGGATCCATTCTAAATTAATTGTAGTTGGGGTGAAAGCAAGGTCCATCTGAAATATAGAAGTGATTCAAGAATCTCCCTGTATTGACGGGCTTGATTTGGGTCCATTTGGCAGAAATAAAAGGCATTGTGTGATCCATCCTTAGTGTAGCAGAGCCATAGGAGACATGAATAAATTGGTAATTGAAAAAAATGACAAGGAAAAAGTTAATGTGTACATCATCTTATTATTATGTTTCTTCTCACAATCAGCCAGACTGGATTTCACATTTTTGTAAATCTATCAGTCTTTCTCATGGATTTTGGACAGGTAGGAGTTGTTTGAAATATCATTTGAGATTTCATATTAGTAAAGTTGGAAGGGACCTTGGAGGTCATCTAGTCCAACCCCCTGCTCGGACAGGAAACCCTACACTATTTCGGACAAGTGGCTGTCCAGTCTCTTCTTAAAAACTTCCAGTGTTTGAGCATTTACTGCTTCTGGAGGCAAGCTGTTCCACTGATTAATTGTTCTCACTGTCAGGAAGTTTCTCCTTAGTTCTAGTTGCTTCTCTCCTTGATTAGTTTCCACCCGTTGCTTCTTGTCCTGCCTTCAGGTGCTTTGGAAAATAGCTTAATTCCCTCTTCTTTATGGCAGCCCCTGAGATATTGGAATACTGCTATCATGCCTCCCCTTGTCCTTCTCTTCGTTAAACTAGACATACCCAATTCTAGCAACCGTTCCTTATATGTTTTAGCCTGCAGCTGCCTTTTGTAATTGATTGTAATTGACAAAGGGTGGTTAAAACTTTGATTTTAGAAAGTTACAAATAGACTAAGGACCCAGATACAAAATGTTAAAATAAGATTATGGAATTAACTATAAAGA